CATCGCCCTTTTAAATTCTTCAGTGAATCTCAGAAGGAACGCAACGTGTCGAGTTTGGGATGCTCGGAACTTCCGAGCTAGGTCTCAAGGTTCGGAGCCCGAACGTTGAAACCGGGCAACTGCCACGAGCTTGGGCCCCCCCCCTACCCTGCTCCCACCCCACCCCTCAAGCCTGAAATCCTCCTTCGCTGTCCCCCCTCACCCCGTGCCTATCGTGAGACACCAAAACGCCAAAGACAATCCCACCGGAGGCGCTGGAGGTCACTTGGCACTCCCCCTCTCCCGTGGAGGTAGAAACGATTGGGGGAGGGGATAGGGAAGGGCCTGGGGGTCCCACAGACCGCCAGGGGGCAGGAGGAGGGAGAGAACGGGCACCGCGTAGCTCGGGCTGGGAAGTGGGGGGGGGAGAAGGGGGTGATGTGTCCCTGTCACCAGAGCGCGATCCGGCAGAGTGAGGGCGCTACAAAGAAGGGGGTGCGGGCTGCTATCCCCGCCACGGTGCCTGCAGGGCACAGGGAAGGGAGGAATGGAGCAGGGAAGGAGGGGGTCAAGGGATCAAGCGGGTCTGTTGGTGGAGGGGGCTCCTCCCAGAGAATCCTGGGATTTTGAATTGGAGGAGGATAGAGAGCGCCTGTGCACACACATTCTCCTTCGATATGGAACTGGAAAGGGCCCGCAGAAGCCATCTAATGCAAAGCATTGCAGGAAGGGAAACTGAGACCCGGAGAAATGTTGATTTGCCCACGGTAGCAGGAAGCCTTCCTTTCCCCAGTTGGGGAGGGGGGCGTGGTGCGAGGATAGAGGGAGATCAGCCTTCGCCTGGATGATTGGTCAGGGGAGGAGTGAAGGGGGCGTGGAAAGTAAGAGGGGTCTGGAAAACTGAAAATGAAACCAAGCGAACGGAAAATCGAGCTTGCCCACCAGGAAGGCCAAGGCGGGTCGAGAGAGCCTTACCTTCCTCTTGTTTCGATGGACGTCGCCGATGGAGTTGGCTACGGTGTTGGGGCCCAGGAGCATGCGCGTGCTCCGCGGCCACTCGGTGCTCACCAGGTGGTGCTCGCCCATAAGGATCTTGCGCACGTTCTCCGCGCCCGTCACTCGGATCAGCGGCCGCCCCAACAAGTGGGTCTTGAATACGTTGCCATACTTCTCCCTCCGGGACGATTGGAAGCAGGAGCCCTGCGGAGGGGGGGGGGGGCACGGAGAAGGGACAGATAGGCAGCAGGTCATTTCCAGGTCAATCAAGGAAACTTTTTTCCCTAAAGTTATGGGGAGGAATAGCATGATGTGTCTGGAGATGTAAAGGACCTTGAGGACCATCTTGTCCAATCCCCACATTTTACAGGTGAGGAAACTGAGGCCTTTGGAAATAAAGTGATGTCCAATATCACACAGATAGTAAGCGTGATAACAGCTGGGGGTGGGGTGGGTGAATAAGAGGCAGACGGTTAAACTTTGGGTACCGTTCCCCAAATATTTTACATATGCTATCTCATTTGATTCTTGGCTCCTTGGATACTATTATTAATTTTACAGATGAGGAAACTGAGGCTGAGAGGGGTTAAGCGATGACCACAATCAATAGCTACTAAATGTATAAGACGGGATTTGAACTCGGGTCTTCCTGATTCCAAGTCCATCCTGGATGGTGTGTGTGCCGAGGGCTGGGAGGGAAGAAATTCCACTGACCCTTCTTCCCTTTCTGACCTTCAGGGACAAGGGAGATCCGCTGGATCTCCAGCAGAACTGCTTTTGCCCTTCAGGCCTCCCCTGCTTTCTCTCCCCTCTATCACTGACGTCTTATTTTATTTTTTTCAAACACCAACTGGAAAAGACATCATAATCTCCGTGGTAATAAGTGGAGACGCGCAGCCCGTTGGCACCAAGTCGGATAATATTTTCTCTACAACCCCCCCCCCCTCCCCTGGCCCCCGGCTTTTAACTGCGGCTCTCAAAACCGTACAGGGCGATGTGCGGAGCCGCGAGCCCCAGAGGGACCCCGAGCGGCCCCGCCCCGCCCGAAGCCCTGCCCCCCCCCATCCTCAGCCCGACCCAACCCGCCTCATCCACTCTTAGAATAAATCTTTCCAGGCTCCTGTCCACGGGCTGGCGATTCCCTGTCGGATGGCCAATGGCCAGCGCCTATTTATAGCCGTTCAACGTCCCCTCCTCCCGGGGCGGCCGCTCGAAAGCGGGGAAGGGAGGGGGTGACGGGGGGGGGGGGGGGAAGGGAATTTCTGTGCTTGGCAAAAAAAAATATATATGTATGTATATATATATAATTTTAATTTTTTTCTCGGTATTTTAATATGATGTCATCCGCCGTCTTGCCGGCGCATTCTGGAGGGCGGCAGGGCTTCGGGGTGGTTTATGGCCACTGAAATAATAAATAAATTTATTTCAGAACATAACCGTAATAGAAAAGCGTGTTCCCTGCCGCCCTAGGGCTCCAGGGCCGCCGCCGGGCGGGATTCCCAGGCGGATCCGAAGCGAATCGGGACGGGGCGGACCGTGGAGCCCCTGCTGGGGGACAGAGCAGAAGAGGGGGGGAGGAGGGGGCTGAGGAGGGGGCGGGGCGGGGGCGGGGGGCCGCGGGGGCCCGACAGGGGGGCGGGGGGCTACGGAGGGAGCAGAGCTCCTCTCTAGGTCTGATGTTGGTCACTGTCGGCTCCCCTTCCCCCCACCCCCCATCCGTTAACACTCAGGCCGCTTCACCGGAGGGAAATTACCTGTCTACCTTCTTCTGCCCCTTTCCTTTCCTGCCCCACTGAGGCAGTCGTGTTGAGGCTTAAGATCCTCCCACCCCCACCCAATGGCCCCAAGGTGGGGGAAAGAGGAGGGTGTGAGCCCAGTGACTTTCTTCAAACCCCTAGCGATCCCCGGGAGCTCTCCCCCTCACCTCACCCCGCCCCCTCCTCACTTTTCTTTCTTTCAAGGAAAAAGAAGGCCAGAAGTCAGTCTGTGTGTCCGTCTGTGTGACTGTCTCTCACGTCCACCCACACCTCCCACCCCGCCCCCCCCCCACACGCACAGGCACGCAAGTCTAGAACCCCGGCTGCAGTCTGGGCTGCAGCCTTCCGACCCAGCCAGGGCTTCTCAATCACTTTTCCACATGGCCTTCCGCAGAGGGGCGAAGCGAGGCCGCGCCGCCGCGCCTGAGCCGTCTGGGGAGCAAGGGCGGGAGGGAAGAGAAAGCTGGGGAGAGGTTGGGGGGCCGAAGCTTCGGTGCCCCCTGGAGGAGGGACTCTGGGTATTGGCCCCCCCCCCCTCCCGCCTGTGTCTACTCGGCACCGCCTCCCGATCGCCTGGGTGGACACTCGCTGGAGAGCAATCTCTTGATACGAGTGAGACGCTGCACGGGGCGGGGGCCACAGTGGGTTTGGGGGGGGCTCCCTGTTTTTTCTAGAGTTGGCTGTGAGTTTCCCGAGGGCGCCTTCTCCCCCTCTTCCCTCTCCCCGGTTCTTCGCCTCTGATCTGCTTAACTATAATTAAGTGCGCTTTTGGTGGCATTAATAAAGACTTATTTGTCCGCCGTTTCCACCGTCTGCCTCCACAAAGAGGACTTTCATCGGGGCGGCCACTCCAGCCGCGAGTCCAATTTATACAAAAATGTTGTATTTTTAGCTCGGGGCTCTGTTTAGATGGCGCTCAGTGGAAAGGGAGAGCCCTTGGAGGGACCCCCGTAAAAATCTGACAAATGGCCCCGAAAAACATAAAGGTCCGATTCACCAGGGCGCCCGTTAACCCCTTGGGCGCCGCTGCCCCCTCTCCCCTCCCTCACTTGGACATGGCCCACAGGCACCCCCAACCCCTCTCAGTTTGTGGGACTCTCCCCCGGGCGGGGCTGGGGGCGCCGGGCAGGGGAGGGGGGGGGTACAGGAGCGTCTGGGATGTGATTTGGAGGCTGCAGCTCCTGCAGACCGCGGAGGGAGCCCGCCGCCGCGGCCTCTGTGGGTTCTGAAATTTTATTTCCTAACTTCGCGGCCAAAAAATCCCAGTCGGCCGCCGTTAACCCTTTCTGCGCGGCCCAGGTGGGAGGGAGAGGGCCTCGGAGGCTGCCGTGCCTCCCTGACGGTCTCGAGTGGATTGTGTCAAACGCGCGGGAGCGCACACACATACACAACTCCCGCTAAAGGAATGGGGGAGACAAGCAGAGTGCCCCTCCCTCCGAAGCAGAGACCCGACGGGGCGAAAGTGGGCTAGGGGCGTGTAAAAGATGGCCTCCCCCCCCTTAACTTGATCTACCTGAGAAATGACCAAGACCGGCTATTCCAAGCTGGTTTTCCCGTTTCTAACCAGACTCTTCTCTACCAGGGCGTGCATAGCATCCCCCTCCCCACTTTCCTCCAGCGCCATAGGAAGAAATCTACGCGCTGCTTGGTTTCAGGTCAGCTTCCCTTCTGCATTCCCAACCCCCCCCCCCCCCCCCCCCCCCCCCCCCTTTGGCTCTTAAAGCTCCCACCCCTCACCCCCCTATGGGGGACAGCTAGGGGGGGGGGGGGGGGGGGATATCACATTGCAATAGCTATTGTCTAGCACTTAACCAGGTTAATTCCGGTTAATTTCCACAATACCTCGGGGTCCAGTCCGGGTTCCCCCCACCCCCACCCCTACCCCCAGATACCAAAAGGCTCTTGGGGTTGCGAGATTTCTGAGGCTAAACCGGGAGCACAAGCTGAGCTCTACGGTCACACATGGGCCAACAGTCCTTTCCTTCTCTGTCTTCCTTGGGCAGCCCTAACTAACCTCTCCGTCCTCCTATTTCTTCTTCAAGATAAATAAACAGAGCAAACTTTTCCAAACAGGTAGCCGCGTGCCTCGGGCTTCCCCAGCTTGTCACTTTTCCTTTCGTGTACGCAGACATACACACACACACACACACACACACACACACACACAAACACACATACACACACACACACACAAACACACATACACATACTCTCCCAGAATGCGAGCTTTACCTGGCCAAGCTGAGCCAGCTGCCAGAACCCGGCCCTCTCCTTAAAGAGACAAGTCCTCCTGGGAAGGCTGGCTCGAATCTCTTCTCCTTCCTCTCTACCCTCTCTGCGCCCCCAGCCTAGCCCAGCCCGGCCCAGCCGCAGCTGCGGCAGTGTGGAGACCAGAGACGGCAGGCAAAGAAGCATCGAAGAGGCAGGTGGGTAGGAGATAGCGACGTGCTCAGGCTAGGGGTCTCCCCTTCGACAGCCAAAAGTCACACGCTTGCCCCATTGAAGAACTCACACCTGGACTGCCAAATACACAATCCCCATCTCTGAGGGTCCACTCTCTACACCTGCCCCACTCCTGAAAATGGTTTTTGGAAGAGTTGGGGATAAGTGGATTTAAGGTTCTAGAGCGCTCCCCCACCCACAGCCAGGAAGATTCCCTTTCGCCAGGCATTAGGTACCAGAGCCGCCCTGGCTCGCTACCCGTAAGACTCCCCAGCGATCAGTCTACCCTCCCGTCATATTGCCAGAAGATTGCCAAGTGGACATGCACTTTTCCCCTTTTCCTCTCGCCTGAAGTCTCCAGGAGAGCCCCCCCCCTCCGCAGAACCCCATCTCTTCCTTACCTCTTGCCACCCCCCCCCCTGCGCCACCTTTCATGACCCCCCAGTATGCTCCTCTGTGCCCTCCTCCTAAGGAACCTGAATCTTCCTCCCCAATGCCCCCAAATCCAAGCCTAACCGCCCAGCCGTCCCCGAGGAGACAGCGCTCGCTCAGGGGCTGCGGCAGTAGGCTGGGACGGGTCCGAACAAGGAGGGGGGCCCGCGCGCGCGCGCCCTTACCTGGAGCAGCCAGTGACCCGTCTCGCCGATCAGGGGGAAGCCCATGGAGCCCTTAGGGATGGGCAGCTTGCAGCTCTTGTCCCGGGTGGCCGCCCAGCGCAGCTGCCACAGCTGCTGGGACACGGCCAAAAGCAAAGTCACCGAGACCAGGCAGGCGGCGAAGGTGGCCAGAGCCGAGACCAGATCAAACCCCTCAAAGAGCATATTTTTGGTTGGTTCTCTGCCTGGCTCCAAGTGCTTGGGAGGGAGGGGAGAGAGGAGGGGAGGCGGTGGGGGAGGGGAGCAAAGGGAAAGGATGGAGCCGGAAACGGGGCTGCGGTGTGGGGTCCTTTGCTCGCTCCCCAGATGCAGAGAAGGCAAGGGGGTGGGACTGGAGAGAAAGAGCCTAAAGTCTCAGAGGGAATCAAGAGGGGGAAAAAAACCTGCCTTAAAAAAAAAAAAAAGACCCGAGGCCACTCAAAGTGTAACTTTGTTTTGTGTTCCTTTATAGGGGGTGGGGGGCGGCTGAGGGGGCCGGGGCGGGGACTGGACTAAGGACAAAGCGCTCAAGTTCGCCCGCTCTCTCTCTCTCTCTCTCTCCAAGCACCACGCTTGGTGAACTTGGGAAAACTTGGGCCGGCGGACCCCTCCCCCTCGCTCCGGGGAAAGGCAAAAAAAAAAAAAAAAAAAAAATGATAATAATAATAATAAAAAAAGATGAAACAAAAATGAAAAATTAAAGTGCAATCGATTCGTCCAAAGGATTTGTTTTTAATTCCAATTTCGGAGGAAAAATTTAAAAATTCTAATTAAGGAGGAAAGGAGAGGATGTCTCCCCCAGATCCAAAAATCACCGGAGAGCCCCAAAACTTTTGGGGGGAAGAGGAAGGGAGATGGTGGTTTGGGAAATGCGGGGACCTACCCCCCGACTCTGTATCTGTTCAAACTTTAATGCGGTGCCCCAGCCTCTAAAAGCTGCCCGTGCGCCCCTGCAGCGGCTGCGGCCAGAAGTCAGGAGCAGAGCGGAGCAGACGAAACGGAGTGAGCCGCTAGCGCGGGGCGGACGAGACGGACGCCGAGAGCAGTCCGAGCCCGAGCCGGAGCCCGAGCCGGAGCCGGAGCCGGAGCCCGAGGGGAGGAGGAGACGGAGGAGGAGGAGGAGGCGCGGGCCGGTGGGAGGGAAGGAGGGAGGGGGTGAGGCGGGGTGGGGTTGGGGGGCGGGCGGTGGAGAAGCCGAGCTGGGTTATTGTATCAATCAGCAAAGGCAGGCAGTCCGCAGGATTTTGTCTCTCGTCTCTGGACTTGCTGCTAGGGAAAGGGGGAGGGGGAAGGAAGGGGAGAAAGAGGGAAAAGAGAAAAAAAAAAAACAGAAGAAGAAATAAAGCAGGAGGCAGGATTTCAGGGCTGGTGGTTTTAAAAGCTTCTCAATGTGATTTGAGGCGATGCGTGTGTTTATATAGGGGCGGGAGGCTGCGCCGTGGGCGCTCCGCCAGTCTCCCCCCTCCGCCAGCCTCCCCCCCCCCCCTCTCCGCCCGCCGCGGGCCCCCCCCCTCACTCTTACAAAGCCGGAGGCGTGGTGAGAGGCCGGGCCCGGCGGCCCGGGAGCGTGTGAGTGTTGGACGCGCGCCCGCCCGCCTGCCTGCCGGGGACCCACTTGTAGCCGCTGAAGGATCAAACTCAGTTCGCCTCTCCCTGGCCCTCTCTGTCCATCCGTCCTCCGTCAGCTGTCCGGGCCGCGCGTCCGCCTTGCGCTGGGCTCGGTACCTAAGACGAAAAGACACACAGACACACAGATGCACACACAGACACACACACCCCACTAGCGCCGGGACTCCCGCTCAGTCCGAGTGGGGATCTCTTGGCCCCGAGACCCCAGCCCTGACACTGGAGCCCCCTACCACCGCGGCCAGCCTCCAGCCCGGTCGGGAGACAGGCGCATGGAGATGGGGGGCCTCCCCCTGCCAGACAGCTCACTCCCGGGAGAAAGTGCCCTAGATTCGCGGCTCCGTCCGCCGAGCCGAACAGGGGTGGCGAGAGCCCGGGGGTGACCGGGGATTGTGGGGGGGCCCCCCCCTGCTTGGGCGCCGGCGGGACGCACGTCGGACGGGCAGCCAGGCGGGCTGGTCTGGGCGCTCCTGCCGAGTCCGAGAGCGGGGCGGGGCGGGCGGAGCCCCGGGGCACAAGCGTTCATTGATACAAATAGGTAAATAAACACGCTCGGAAAGGGGCCGCCACCTTGCCGCACTGGCTGCCCAGGGGCAGTGGGGGGGGGAGCAGGGGGGAGAGTGTGAGAATGACACGTGTGTGCGCAACATGTGTGACCCTGCAGTTGGAACGTGTGCAGCTGTGCGGGGTGTGAGTGTGTGTGCGCGCGTGTGTGTGCGCGCGCGCCAGAGAGGTGGAAAAGGTGCCTCTACTGGAGCCTGTTTAATTTGAGGAGGGGGCTCTCTTCTCTCCAGGAGCCCTTCTCTTTTTCTTTTCCATCCACTCCTCGCCGGCGCCCCATGATTGTGCCAAAACAAGACGTAATCCAACTCCCCCCGTCCTCTAAATGGGAGTAACGTGCAGGTCTGTGTGGTGGAAATGGGGGGGGGGCGTATCTGTGGTGGATATGTGTGCGGCGTGTGTGTGTTCGGGGTGTGGGTGTGTGTGTGCGCTGTGGAAACTGGCTTGCACGCCTCTTCGCACCTTTCTCTCTCGAATCCAGACACCAGCGGCGCCTCTGCTTTCTGAACGCCGCGTTCCTACTTTGGAGCTATGAATGAGAGAGGAAGCCAGAGGGGAGGATGAAATTCTGCGTGTGCGTGTGCGCGCGTGTGTGGTGTGTGTATGTGTCTGTCTGTCCGCTTTTTCCAAGGTCCTCGGTGTGTTTGTGCCTGGGCATGTATGCTTGGGTCTGGATGCGTGTGTGCAAAATGTGTCTGGGTGCTTTTCTGTCTCTGTGGCGCACTGAGGTTTGGTGAGCGAAATCTCTCCGCCTGCCTCTCCAGCCCTCTCACTCTTTGCCCTATAACCCCACCTGGTGGACAATTGTGGCACTGCATCTCTGGGAGAAGCACCCCCCCCCACCCCCCCACCCCCGCCCCAGCCCCATACACACGCACACCCTGGTCTCCATCCCCTTTCTCCGTCCCTTCTTCTACCCTTTACCTCGTCCTAACAAAACAAAACAAAACAAAACAAAGCCAAAAAAAAGGAAATAACATCTCCAGCCCCTGGGTCGGCGTCAGTAACTAGGAGATTAGGACGGGGAAGTGCTTGTGGGGGCCCATCTCTGGCCAAGGGGGAGGAGCTTCACGGAACCTCCTTATTCCTCTCCCCAGATAGGGGGCTTCACCAAAGAATTGTGCTGGCTTCTTCCCCAAAAAGGGATGGCGGACCATGGGGTGAGGATGAGTGGGAAGGGCATAGCTACCGAGCTACCAAGTATCTCTAAAATTAGGTAGTCAAGGCCAAAAAGAGAGAGAGATGAAAATGATATGGATGAAAAGAGCCCTGGATTTATGTCATAAGTTCCAATGTCCGCCACTGTGTACTTCCTGTGCCACCTCTCACAAACCACTTCCTCTCCCAGCCTCAGTTTCCCCGACTGTAAAATGAGAGGGTTAGATCAGACCACCTCTAAGGTCCCTTCTATCTCTATGAGTTCCTGATTTATTTTTTATAAAGAGAATAACAATGATACTTTATCAAGCTGGTTTAGAGTTCATAGATCTTGGAACTGGAATGACTAGCCACCCCTGACCTCTGGCAGGTTGATGTAGTATTATCCCCCTTTTAGAGAGGAGAAAGCTAAGGCTAGGAGAAGAAAAATAACGTGGCCCAAGTTACCCAGTTAGCCTTTGTGTGAAGCTGAAAACTTCCATAGACCTTCTTCCATGCAAACGAAAAAGCTATTTAAGTAAAACACATTACTAAGATGGAGATTACCAGGAGAAAGGTCAGAGAGCCCATGTTCTCAGAGAGGTCGCATTCCAATAAGGGGAGACAGAACATCTAAGAGGCAAGTCAGATGGAAAGGCTCCATGGTCTATGGATATAGCAGAGGCTCATGCCTCTTCCTACAGGTCATTTCCACTGATAAAAACCCTGTTTCTGATGTTGCCCACTGGACAGCCAAGGACATATCTCAATAGGACTCAGCCCCTTAAACTTAGCTCATACCCTTCATTGCCTCTGGCCTCAATGGCTGCAGAAATTAAAAAAAAAAAAAACTCCCTCAAAATTACCGTCATGGAATTTCCATTCTAATGAGGGAGGGAACAAGAGAGAGGCTCCCTGAGGAGAGGCCAGTGCCCAGGACCTCCCCGAGGGCAGGTGCTTACTGCCTCCTTGAGCACAGACCCACTAAGCCAAGCCTGGTCCCAGGTAAGAATGACAAGTTGACACTCACAGATCAGGGTCCTGAGCTGGGCAGCTTGACAGTCTCCTAACCAGTGAGTTGGAGCCTGGAGTCAAGGAGACCTGGGTTCATATCCTGTCTCATACTTCCCTGGGTCTCAGTTTCTTTCTCGGCATAATGAGGGCGCTGGATGAGGCAGGTGATCTCTGAGGTTTATTATTCCTCGCAGCTCTAAATCTGGGGTCCCTAAGAGCCACACTTCAGCCGTGCTGCCAGCAGAACTGGGCCTCCTCCCTTCCCTGGCCTGTCTCCCATCCTTGAGTCCCACCTCTTCCCAGAAGCCTTCACCAACTCTCTTTGCAAACCCTGAGACTCACTTTGAAAATTCTCCCCCTAGCTCCTACAATGCTTTACAATTCAGCTCTCATTTTCTCTATTTTCTAACACCTTGTCTCCCGCAGTAACTAAACTGGGGTCCCTGAGGGCCTGCAGGAGTTGCGGTTTACCCTGCTCTTACCCCCACCCCGGTTTAGCTGAGCCCATGGCTGCAGTACTGCCCTGGAATACTGCAGTTTTCAGGGGATACAGTACACCCCCTCCTCTTCCTTTCCTGGGCCTCATTGTCCCCACATCCAGGAAGGCCAGAAGGACAAAGGTTGGGGGGAGGAGGTGGGGACACCCTTACATCCATCCCAGGACTAAGGGGCCAATGCCCCACGGGCAGCTTTCCTTGGCCTCTCTGCACCCAGGGCAGTTGGTGGGGGGTGGAGGTGGGGGCAGCCTCATGGCCGATCCTCACTCCTCCCATCCCTCCCTCGCTCTCTTCCTCCCTCCAGTCAGTTAGCTGTGGCTGTGTTGCCCTGTAAGGGGCGGCAGGGACCAGAGCTTGGAGCTGGGCACAGACAAGCCGATTAGCGCCTCTTGTGGCTTTCTTGGGAGGAAAGTGGGGCTGAGCTCTCGGTGACCAAAGGAGGGGGCCACCAGAGCAGGAATCAGGGCTCTGGCCTCCCACCCCCACTTGCACGGCCCCTCCCCTCCTTCCCAGATTTCTGCCACACGATTACGCCACAGGTACTTTCTGATCCAGTGGCCCCAGGCTCACGCCATGAATGTCCATCCCCCAGCTCTG